ACCCTAAACCTTACCCTAACCCTAACCCCTAACCCTAACCCGTACCCTAACCCTATCTCCTAAGTCTAACCCCTAACCCTAACCTGTACCACAACACTTACCCTAACCCGTACATTAACGCTAACCCATACCCTAACCCTAACCCGTACACTAACCTGTACCCTAACCCTAACCCGTACCCTAACCTAATCCGTACCCTATCCCGTACCCTAACCCCTACCCTAACCTGTACCCTAACCCTAAATCCTACCCCCAAACCCTAAATCCTTTCCCTGACCCTATCCAAAACTGTAACCAAAACCTTGACCATTAACCCCTTTCTTATTTTCCCTGCCCTGGAGTTTCCTTATTCCCACCCATGTGCATAGTCCCCGTTCCATGGAAAGTTCATCACCCTAAAATATTTCTGAGTCTCAGTTTTAACTCTGCACAGCTCAGTCCCATTCGGAATGGCAAGCTGGTCCCAACCCACCTGCTGGTCACCTGGCTGTTGCGATCAAAGCCCCACAACTATTTCTTTGGGAGCAGATTTAATGTGGTGACTATCAGCCCCAGGACCGGCTGCCTGATTGATCCCCAGCTTCGTCAGCCCTCACAGGTGTCTATTATAGGGAGATAACAAGTTATCTAACATTTAATCCGCTGCACCGGGCAAGGAAGTCCACTCTCCTCCAGCTCAGCCTTCAAAGGAAATAGGTACATTTGAGTTAGTACAGGCTTGGAAATGGATAGATTCCATGTACCCCCAACAGCCCACTCCTGAAACCAGGCTTCTCCTGACCTTCTCGCTGTACAGATCCCTGGGTACGTCCCTGTGTGGGACGTGTATGTGCAGTATGCAGTGATCATCCAGTTTTGTGTGTCCACGGCCCTACAAGCCAGTGGAGTTCTCACCTCCTCAACGAAGTGACCTTCTGAAAGGAGGGGGCACACCCCTGAAAATCGTTCCATGGTGGGAGATTTCCACATTTGGACTGATTGCACACGGGGGATGCTGACTTGCACAACAATCAGTGCTCCCAGCTGTTTCGTTGAAGGGTACCCCAGCGAGTCTGTGGAGCCCCATAATGGCAAGGATGTGCAGCTTCCTCCAGCTGGGCCTTTAGGGGGGATATGTGCATTTGGAATTAGGCATATATCAGGTGCTCCAAGCAGCCCGGTCCTAGGACAGGGCCTCTCCCTAGAGCTGCCCTATTCCAGCTCCCTGGCTCCCCAGGTCTGCCCAGCTTGTGCATACACACCACAGATCCTTCAGCCTGCAGAGGGCAGCCTGAGCCCCACAGGTCTGTGGAATCCGTCTGCATACCTCCTGGGGAAAGGGTTACACCCCTGAAAATCTCTCTCAGCAGCACCTTTAGACTGACAGCAGTCACACCCCGTTTGGACCAGCTTCCTGAAGGGGCTCCAGGTCTCTCTTCTTTAACACGGCCCAGACAATCCCTCACTCTCACCCGCCTCTTCCAAGGGGCTTGACTTCAGGTCCATCTTGTCTGATATGGGGATGGCACACCACGTCGCCACTGGTTCATGTCTGTATGGAGGATCTTTTCCACCCTCTCACTTTAACCCCCTTTGTGTCACTGGGTCCCAGGGGAACCTCCTGGAGACAGCATGCAGCTGAATCTTGTCTTTTAAACCTAATCCCAACCCAAGCTCTGCCTTTAACGGGAGACATCCACTCATTACTTCGAATGTAAATGAGAAGGAAGGACTCCAGTCATTTCCTATGTGTTTTCTGTATGTCTTCAACTTCTTTTCACTGAGTCAAGATTTATTTCCAACCTTGAAAACATTTGGACTAATCAAAATGGTGCTGCTGTAATTTCTTATCATACTTTAGTGCTTCATATACAGATTTTCAGACATAGACACAGTGACCCAGCCCGACAGCACATGGTAAGAGTTACAAAGGCCTCAGCTATTTAACAAAACCGAAAGTGACAACAAAATAATGCAGCACAGGACTTGCGCGTCCTTGATGAGGACATAATCAGGAGCAAGTTATTCAAACAAACCAAATACAAATTTGTTTTTACACTTTTCATGTTTACTTTTAGTCTTTGCTTCATAAAGCCACTGATAATTGAGGAAACTTTCTTTCAAGTACGGGATTTCTAAATATTTTTTTAAGATTTTCATTTATTTGAAATAGAGAGTGAGCAGGGGGAGGGGCGGGGGAGAGGGAGAAGCAGGCTTTCCCCTGAGCTGGGAGCCCCGTGCGGGGCTCAGTCCCTGGACCCGGAGATCATGATCTGAGCTGAAGGCAGAGGCTTCACACACTGAGCCACCCAGGCACCCTGAGATTTCTAAATATTTTACTAAAGAAGAAATGAAAAGGCCACAAACTACAAATTCCTACACCAAAAAGGGAAACACGACTCAGCTGCATTTACCCGTGTTCCCGCACCTCAGCACCGCAGGAGGCCCGCCCGCCGGCCGCCGACCCTGCGGCCAACAAGCCCTACCCCGGCCCGGCCATCCTGAGCACCTACCGCCCTCCCTCCCGGCACCGCGCTAGCCAGCCCGTACCCCGGAGGGGTCCTTCAGGCCTCCGGCCGGGCAGCCCTCCTGCGGGTCCTTGCGCGGTTGCGTAGCAGCTGCGAGGACGCGAACGGAGCCGGAAGCGGAGTGGGGCGCCGAGTGAACCCCGGCTGGCCCGAGGGGTCCGAGGCGGGACCGGGGCGGCGCGGAACGGGGACCGGGGCGGAACGAGGCCCGGGGCGCGGTGGGACGGGGTGGGACGGGGGACGGGCGCCGACTGGGACGTGGGTGGCCACCGGCGGGCCCACCTGGGGAGTCCGGGGTCGTACCTCGTTTCCCTCAGGTGGCAGGCCCAGCCTTGGGATCCACCGTCCTTGGGCCCTGGGCGGGAGAAGGACGGACCGTTGGGTTCATTCAGCGGTGTGGGGGCGAGGGCAGTCCAGCCTGACAGGGAAGGTTGGTTCCCAGATGTGTGGGGTGCCCAAAAGATGTTGGTTGAATGAAAGAGAGCTTGCCAAGTAGATGGCGAGGACAGCGCCCGCTGCTGAAGGTCTTCGAGCCTGGAGTTTAGGTCTGGGTTTGGCTTTGGAACAGGTCACTCTGCTCCAGGGGGGAGGTGGAAGGGGCAGCCCCTCGCTGTGCTCACCAACCACCTACCACTTGCCATACACTGGTCATGAGATGAGGGTACCTGCGTAAACAAGGCTCAGTCCCTACCTGAGCAGCGGTACAGTCAGGGAACTCTGGGTCCTGTTGACATTTTCCACCCCGACGGTGTGCACACCCCTGTCCTAGCTCTTGCCACAGTAGACTCTGACACCATGGTGTCTCCTTTCCTCTAAACCCAGCACAAGGTCTGCTCATGGGGAACAGAGCCTGAAGGCATCATTTCTGTGTGCCTAATTGGCTCAGAATCGGTGCTGTGGTGCGTTCTTAGTACAGTTTGAAAAGTTGTATTTGGCGGTGAGGAGAAAAGTAACAGAGCTAGAGGTGATGTCACCCCTAGGTGTTGATGTTTGGGGTGGGCAAGAATTAAGTATTCCTTTTTCATATGATATTTGTCCCTGTGTGGCAGAATCTACTAGTCCAAATCTGGTAGGCAATTGCCTGAGTCTGCTGCCAAGGGAAGCAACCTTGGTGGACGTACAGATTTGGCGTCATCACTATTTAGAAGATACTTGAGACTAGTAGAGATTGAAATAACCCTAGAGAAGAGGGTCTGGAGAATGCCCACATTGAGAGAGAAAGAGGCAGCTACTGATTGCAGCAGGGTAAAAAGTGAAGGGGAAGGTGGAGGCATGAGGCAGGTGATCAGGAATGCACATTAGATGTCTTTGGCCGTGTGGTCTGTCATTCAGTGATAAGAGCTTACGCCTACAGAACACTGTCTCACACTGATTGTTTTTTTGTCCTGTTTTATTGGTGAGAAAGCTTGCCTATATACAACTTGTCAAATAGTCTTTCCAGGTGGGAGTGGGAGGTGTGGCCCTGAACAAAGCTGCCGTAAGGAGATGACATAGAGTAAACCACCCAAAGAGGATTTGGGTGGGGACAAGTTTCCAACCCCACAGTTCAGCAAGTGGCGGCCAGGTTGGTAGTGAATAGAGAGGGATGGAAGTGTGTCCTTGGGCCTTTATCTCATCAACTTCTCTCTCCCGTCCAGGAAGGGGAAAAAGTAGATTTGGTTGAGAAAACTTCTCATCTCTTTAACAATAGCCTCTTCTTGATCTTCCCAGACAGTGACAAGACCCTACACGCACACACCTACCCCGGGCTGAACGGCCAGGAGCCAATGGCCAGCGACAAACCCAAACCCTCTGAGCTCAACCAAGAGAAATACGATGCTGATGACAACGTGAAGATCATCTGCCTAGGGGACAGCGCTGTGGGCAAGTCCAAGTATGTTGGGAGATGACAGAAGAAAGACTAGGCCCAGAGCAGGTCGGGGTGGCACAGAAGAGCATGGCTTCTATAGGGGTGATAAGGGAGTAGTCTTGGCTGGAGCCCAGGTGTGTGGGGGAAACAAGGGGGATCACAGCAGCTGTGTGTGTTGGGGAAGGGGGAGCAAGTCATAAGACCTGAGTAAATAGAGCTTTCTCCAGGAGTCTTGGCCGCAGATATGGGACGGCTCACCCTGGAGACTACTGAAGCAGTCCAGGGTGAGGCAGTAAGAGCTGAGGGATCCTGCATGTTCTCTGTGGGCCGAGAGTCTGCGAGTGGGAATGGAGACCGATGACAGATTGATTGGAGGTACAGGTGCCTTCTTGGAGGAGCTCCCCAAGATGAAGCACAGTGGAAAGAAATGAGGACTGACTGTGGTCAGCCTGGAGATTGGCTGGCTCTTAACTGACTCCACTGCCCATGTGCACAGTTTGGGACTCCCCACCTGGTGAGCTGAAGGGGACTCTGCGGTGCTGGCAGATCCCACATGTCCTTGTCTGCCTTCACAGCAGGAGTGTAGACCACACATCTGCTTGAGTCCTGTCTCCTAGGTGCTCCAGATCTACCTTGTCTCCAAGCCTCACCGTTCATTCCAGGGGCTTTGCTGGTTTTTAGGCCATCTTCCTAAATTCACATTCTCTCTACCCCACCCCATATGCACACACTGCAGATCTAGTTTAGTGTTTTACAGTTGCTTTGACCATCCTCAACAGTTGCAGTTTGAGGAGATTGCACAGTAAAGAACACCCCCTATTTCCCAGCCAAGTGTAGTATTTCCCAGCAAACAGGGAGCAGGAGGATAAAGAGTAGCTGGGGGCTTTGGAGAGCATAGCTTGGTGTGAGGCCCAGGGTGGCCTGCCTGCTTCCTCAGCACTGCCCAACCCGAAGTTCAGTGCTGCTTTCTTACAAGCCTCACTTAGGACAACAACAAAAAGGGAGAATCCGGGAGGTTAGCAGGATTTCAAATACCACAGCATTGGCCTCTATGGCCACAGCATCTGGAAAACAAGCAGGGCTTCGGGGCAGAAGCAGCAGGCTTTCTCTGTGGTGCTGTTCTTTCTCATGCAGCAGGTTCATGCCTCTTGATTCCATTTCCTCTTTGTGTCTTTGTTTTTGGCCCCCCCAAGCCTCTGTTAAGGGTGGGTTCTAATGACATAGCTCTCTCACTGCCTTCACTCCTGCACGTACCCCCTTCCTGAGTTGGATGCTACTGCAAGATGTTCTCCCGTAACGACCTCTGACCTGGCCAGCTCATGATCTGATTGTCCAGCCTGGGTCCACTTTAATAGACATTTCACTTTACAAGTGCTGAGTACTAACAGGGTCAGACCCTGCTCTACGTGATCAGTAGAAGCCCCTCTCTGTGTGCCCACTTATAACCATGTCATTTGGAGACCCTGCCAGTCCTCCATACATTTTCTTCACGTTTTCTGTACCCCTGGTCAGCAATGAGAGGAACCCATACTCCCTCTGTAGCTTCTCTTTCTGCAGCTCAAGAAACCGTCTTCCCCTTGGGGGCGGGGGGGCGGTGGCGGTTCAGACTATTTTGGGCCTTGCCTTTCTTTTGTGTGTATAGGTTTTTTTTTAAAGATTTTATTTATTTCAGAGAGAGAAAGCACAAACGGGGAGAGGCAGAGGGAGAAGCAGGCTCCCCGCTGAGCAGGGAGCCTGATGCAGGGCTTGATCCCAGGACCCTGGGATCATGACCTGAACCGAAGGCAGATACTTACTGACTGATCCACCCAGGTGCCCCTCGGGCCTTGCCTTTCTTAAAGATTTCTTTGGACCCAGATGCTCCCTCTGCTTAATAACAAAACATGGCCTTTCCTTACCCGCTCTTTGAGAGGTTAGCTCCAGATATGGTTTGCCCCCTGACTCAACCACTTAAGCTCCTGGCCTCCCTTTGTGTGTGGGGCGGGGGGAGTGGTGGAAGGATGACAAGGCTTACTTCACAATGTTTTCCAAGTGACTAGCCCAAGATTTGACACATGGTAGGTCTTCAGTGGGTCTTAGTTTTATCTTCCCATCTGCCACTAGTTTGACCTGATGAAGAAAATGAATAAAAACAAATCTTTGTTCAAAAACAGAATGGTTAGCTCCACATGCATTGCCTTTTTTGGGTTATGGGTTTTAGGGTGTCATTCTCTCTTTGATGACTGTCCACCGGTGTACACAGAGGGCAAAGATGCACACCCTCCTAGGGTCACGTGGTGTAAGCACAGGCTGGAGCTGACTAGGGGAGGTTAGGGAGCGGGATATACACAGCCTGACCCCTGTCCCATGCCTTGCTATCCCCAAGGGCCAGGAGGAGATGGGCTGGATGCCTGGGGAGGGGGCCTCCAGAGAGGGGTGTGGCACCTGTGACACTTCACCTGCTTCTGGGACAGGAGCGTAGGGACCATCACTCTTCCACGGCCCGCTCTGATGAGACAAGTCTCTTGAGCTCTGCCTTCCTCCTCCACTTCAGGAGCGCATGGTCTCTCAAGGCAGTATCTAAGCACAGCCCTCTGGACCTCGGGGGGCAGTAATTTCACTGGGAGATTTTCCTACTTCCGTGTAAGAAAGTGGTGTATTTTCTTTATAATATGGATGCTGTTTCTTTTCAATTATAAACAGAATCGACCATCCTTCTACAAGGGAAGCTACAATTTAAATCTTAGAAATATAAAATCATGGCTAGAATGTATTCACTTTATAGACAGATAAGGATTGGCCCTTAATATGTGGGGTAAAGTGCAGTTGTAGTCTAAGGAGAGTGGTCAGGGCAGGCCTGTTTGCGAAGGTGACATTTGAGCAAAGGTTTGAAGAAGGCAAGGGAACAAGCCATGCGTGAGGAGGAGCATTTCAGCTAGAGGGACTGGCCAGTGGCTGGAGCAGAGGGAGCAGCGGGAAGGCAGTGGGCGAGAAGACAGCAAATGGAAGCGGGCCTTGGGATCTGAGGAGGCTTGGAACTGAAAGAAATGCAAAAACATGGGATGGTTTGAGCCGAGGAGTGACCAAGTCTGAATAATGTTCTAACTGGATGACTGACCGGGCTCAGAATAGGGGTTCCTCTCAATCACCAATAGATCAAGCAGGGAAAAAAGTAGTAAGGAAACATTTTGACAGCACATTTATCAAGGTTGATGATTCATAGAGATTATATTTAAGACTTTCTAGAATGATGACTAATTATGAAGAGGCCCTTTTCACTTATTGGTGCTTGCTGATGCTTATTGGTCATTGGAAATCCTCCTTTCTGAAATGCCTGTTTAAGCCAGTTGCCCCTTTTTATTGGATTGTTTGTCTTTTTATTATTGACTTGTAGGAATATCTTCAGACATTCTGAACCTTCTTCTAGTCTCTGCCTTTTCACTCTATTACGGGTGTATTTTGATGAACAGAAACACTTAATTTTAATACATTGTTAAAAAATTAAAGAAAATTTTTGAGATGTAATTGGTATTTAAGATTGTCGTGGTGTACAACGTGATGATTTAACAAACATGTATTTCAGAATGATTACCGCAATGAGGTTTGTTAACACATCCATCACTTCACATAGCTCTTTTTTTTTTTTAATTTTTTTTTTTTATTTATTTATTTGAGAGCGAGAGAGAGAGAATGAGAGATAGAAAGCATGAGAGGGAAGAGGGTCAGAGGGAGAAGCAGACTCCCTGCTGAGCAGGGAGCCCGATGCGGGACTCGATCCCGGGACTCCAGGATCATGACCTGAGCCGAAGGCAGTCGCTTAACCAACTGAGCCACCCAGGCGCCCCACATAGCTCTTTTTTTGGTGTGTGGTAAAAACGCTAAAGATTTACTCTCTTAGCAGCTTTCAAGTATATGATGCAGTATTGTTAGTTGTAGTCACCATGCTGTACACTAGATCCTCAGAACTTACCCACCTTATAACTACAAGTGTACCCTTTGACCAACACCTCCCGTTTCTCTGTGCCATGGAATATCACTCAACCATTTAAAAAGAAGGGAATCTTGCCATTTGCGACAACATGGATGGATCTTGAGAGGGCATTATTCTAAGTGAAATAAGGCTGAGAAAGACAAATACTACTACATGATCTTACATGTATGTGGAATCTTAAAAAATAAATAAATAAATACACAAAAATAGAAGATGCAAGTTCATAGATAAAACAGATTGCTGGCTGCCAGAGGTGGTAGGTAGGGGTGGGGGTGAAGGGGGCCAAAAGGTACAAACTTCCAGTTTAAAATAAGTCAGAGGGATGCAATGTGTGACCTGGTGACTATAGTTCATAGCACTGTACTGCACATCTGAAACCTTACTAAGAGAGTAATCTGGAAGTTCTCATCACGAAAAAAAAATTCTGTAGCTATGTGTGGTGATGGACATTAACTAGGCTTATTTTGGTGATCATTTCGCAGTTTGAAAAAAGTCTTTAACTCATTTTGAGTTAATTTTTGGTGAATGGTGTAAGATAAAGATGCAGTTTCATTCTTTTGTATGTGGATTTCTATTTTTCTTAGCACCTTTTATTGAAGAGACCATCCTTTCTCCATTGTGTGTTCTTGGCTCCACAGTCAAATGTTTGACCATATATGTGTAGGCTTATTTCTGGGCTCTCTATTCTGTTCCATTGGTCTATGTATCTGTTCTTAAGGGAGAATTATGAAGATTTGATCCTATATTTTCTTCTAAAATTTTATACTTTCAGCTCTTAAGTTTAGGTCTTTGATCCATTTTGAGTTAACTTTTATATATGGTGTGAGGGAAAGGGCCCACCTTCATTCTTTGGCATGGGAATATCCAGTTTTCCCAGCACCATTTAAAAGCCTCTTCTTTTCCCATTGAATGGTCTTTGGCACCCTTGTCAGAAATCAATCGACCATATATGTGAGCGCTTCTTTCCGAGCTATATATTCAGTTGGTCTCTATGTCCATATTTATGCCCAGTAGCATACTGTTTTGATCACTGCAGCTTTGAATGAAGTTTTGA